GACTAACACACATACTTCTTGGCCTTAAGCTTACCATCAGTGGTAGAATCACCTAGCCAAAAGTGTTCTATGACAGTTTTGGACTATGGTTTCCTCCATTACACATAGTGGGTTGTCGTTGGCTCTAACATCACATCACAGATGCTAAGGTGCCCAGATCTCCAATACAATACCTCAATAGGTACCAAAGAGATAATCCCTAATACCACAACATAATAGGTACTAAGGAGATATAATTCTCTAACACCGTACCCCGTCGAGCACTAAGGAGAATAATGCCATATGGTCTTTCACTATTTCTCCTTACAAGTGAACTCTTACCACTATGGTTATGCTTTAGTACCAGTGATAGGTTTATATTCATAAACCTTACATATATATATAAAATATATAACCGCATATTTTCACTAGTTTTTTTAGTCAAAATCCATTTCCAAGTAACAGTCATGCAATGCTATAAAACGTGCTTAGTTTGAAACAGTTTATGCAATATCTATAATACTTTCAAATAGTAATAATAGATAATCAAATAGAGAAAGTTATTCGATTACCTCAACCCTTCTGTCATAAGAAAAGTTACCTATGGATTTCAACAACTACTAAAGCTTTCTACAAGTCTCCTTCCTCAACTTACATGTGGAATATGCTAATCTACACACAATTGACACTATTATTCAATTGATCTAATTGACCAAAAACACTTAATTATTAATTAAGTTTATAACTAGCCATCCCTTTCTTTCCACTTAGTCAATCTAAGCTCATTATCCCTCAATTACCACTTTCTACCACTTCTAGTAATCCCATCTCACTTTTACTTGATTTTCACTAATTGAAGCTTATAGCTTCAAAGCCCTATCGTTCAACTCCAAACCAATCACAAAGATTTAATTTAATTCTTGAGAACCTTTTTATTACTCTAGGATAAGAAATTAACCCCTTAAATCTCTCCAATTCAATTTTTCTATAACTCATGCTAAGAGAAATTATAGTAGAATCAAAGCTAAGGATCGTAAGAAGCTTACTTGATAAGTTGCCAACTAGAAATGCCTTCCAACGCTGCAAAAACCCTTTTCTCTTTTCCTTTTTGTGTTTTACCTCATTTCCCTTCTGAAATCATGAGCTTCATACACACTTATCAAGTCCTTTTTTGTGCCAGGCGTCATGACACAAGCAGCTTGTGTTGTGGTGGGTGGCATAGTGGGAAAAATCCTTATTGTGCTCACACGCTTCATCTCAAAACTTAATTCTTCTACTTATATTTATTCATTCAACACTCTAATGGGTTAGAATACTAAAATTTCATCCAAATTTATAATCATTTTCTATTTACTAATTCACCCTTAATGAGTGGCTAATTACTATATTAGAAAATTTAGGATGTTATAGGGCCTCTCTCTATGCATGGCCTACTTAAATCCTAACCTAGCTTTCTTCTAAGGCTATCCAATGATCTAATAACTACATTAGTCTTTCAAAAACATCATTAATTAAAAATTTACTTAAATTTACCAATCTACCCTTCTAAAACACTTAAAATTTCAAGATTTAAAATCTAAGATGTTATAAATTAGCCATTAAAGCCCTAAATTCATCATAAATCAAAGGGTAACAATAAGTCACATTAAATATCCTCTTGCCCATTCCAATAAATAATCAACACAAAAACATCATTTGCACTAGTATCTTAACCTCTCACAATGATTTCATCATGGTTACATTGTCCTAAGCTGAAATACTCACATTTACACAATAATTCTCGTGCAAGTAACTTCAAACAAAACATAATCCTAAATTGGCATAAATACATGAATCATTCATTACAATTATAAAAAGAGAAAGAGAGGACTATACAAACTCAAGCCTCTCTAATCCTAGTGGCACCTCCCTTCCCTTTGCACCTATCAAAGCCTTCACCCGTAAAATATAACCACAAGATGAGTCGAGGACTTAGTAACCAAACTATTTAAACAAACTACTCATATGTGAAAAAAGTTAGTAAATATGTGAAGTGGCATTAAAACATGTAATTTAGATAACAAGTTTATATATACACATAGCTATACAAAGATGATATGCAGGATCAATATACTGCCTTATACCCTCCTTATTTCTTTTGATTAAATCTGTAAGTTGATAATTTAATAGAACTAAATCTATATGATTGATTAGCTCAAGCTTACTAATCATGGGAGGTAGCCTCAGCTAGAAGTGCCTTCACCTATTATGGACTATAGATTTCCCCTTTTCTTAATTATCTGAAGTGTTGTATGTCAAATCTATCTCAAATAGTAACGGGACTTCAAACAATAATAAGACTGAACACCAAGGCCTCTATTGTGTTAATATAACATATGGATTTATAAACAATATCCCCTACCAACATTAGAGTAAACTCCCACTCTCTCACAATGATCATGTTCAACATTATTCTCAAATATTTTTACACAGAGCCATACACATGTAATTTATTCTTAAACAATCCTTTCCATATTGAATCATACATTTTCACACAAATATATACATATACATAGGATTTTGCATAAAAATCTTCAAAACCCATATTTGCAAACACATATACATACATTCCACTTCACATAAGGTTTCTAAATTCTAATCATTTTCTACTAATAGTATACCAGATCAAAATAATAATGGAGTAATTTTTGCAATTCCATACAAACATCCAACCATACAAATAATTAGCTCAGATAATTTGGTTACCTCAAACCTTTTGTCATAAAAAGGGTTACCGTGATCAAACACTAGCTCCACCAATGTCTACTCACGCAACGGGGCACAATCTATTCTTAATTTACAAGATTAAACATTGAATCTTCAATTCTCACTTATTGACCCATTTTTTGTCTAATTTTGGGTACCCATTATACCCAAAATCCCACTTTAACACCATCAATACTCTCAACACACTCTATCAATTTCATTTAGCACCCGAACACACTAATAACGCTAATCCTTTACCCATATTGTTCTAAAAATCTTAAATTTCACTTAGGGCTCATCTAAACCCTAACCAAAAATTACAAATCACTACACAATTCATAAACCTAGGTTTAGAAGCTTGATTTTTCTTCCCAAGACCTTATCTAAGTAAATAGGTTTGGTTATAACCCAAGAAAAACCAAAATCAAACCCTAACAACACCCAAACTCTTATAAATTTTGCATAAAAGAGAAGGAGAAATATAGGAAGCTTACCTAATGATAAATCTTGCTTAAAATGCTCCTAAATTGCTACCAATATGATGCCTTAGTAGAGCTAAATGTTTATATTATTGCTCCTTATGTTTTCTCCTTCCTTTTCCTCTTCCTCAAACTTGCACGACGCTCTAATTAAATCATATTTTTACATGTCCTCTATAGTGCATAGTATATATATCACAATGCATGGTGCATCTACTACGGTGGATGGCATAGAAAGGCTTAGAATGATTTTAGCCTCATTTCATGGCCTGGTTCGCTCTAACTTTGACCTAGCCCTCTTTTGAGGCTGTCTAATGACCTATAAACCTTATAGTCTTCCAAAAACACCATAAATTCATAAATAAATTATTTTAAGAAATTTACCCTTTTTATACACTTAAAATTTCAAAATTAAAAACTTAGGATATTACACAAATCATACTATTCTTGATCTTGAGGATTAGAAAATTCCAAATGCTAGGTAGGTACAAGGTAATTCTTTACTAATGTTAAAGTTCTTTATTGACTTTCATAACCTAAGATTTAGCTATATATCAATTAATTATGAGAAGGAGCATATTGAATACCTAGTAGAAAATAAAATGGACACGTCATGGTAATTCATGTACTTAGGGGAATTAAGTAATCCTAGAGTTTTTAGCTCAACCTATGAAAATTAATATTATTTTTAATTTGTCAATATAAAATGGCTTGCTTTTGCTTCACCTTCCCTAATTTCTCCCCAAACTTGTGAGTTTTGTAATGTAGAAAGTAGAAATGCATAGCTCAAATGCATAATTTATCTATAGTCCTTTTCTGTTCATGAATTTTCTTTGTCCAGAGTAATAGTAGACACCAATCACTAATTTAATTATATGGATTTATGGACTTTAGCTTGTTAACCCATCAAGGATGCATTCCTATTCTCCAATTTCAGCATTAATCTTAATGAGGAAGAAGACAAAATCTATCAGAAGCCTTTTAAAATAGTTGAGTGCTTGATTCATAATGCTTAGTATGTTTAAGGAATATTCTTCATTTAAAGGCTTTCTAATAGAAACTCATACAGGTAAGTTAGAATATTCCCAGATGCATGGTTTCAATTTGTCATTAATGAAGAAGAGATTGGTTATAGGAAATTATCTCATTTATTCTTTGATAGTTTCTTTTACAAAAATATCTAAAAAGATGTATTAAGAGGTGTAGAATTTATAAAAGCCTTATTATTGGATCATGCATATTCATTTTTTACATTTATCATGTGTGTGAATGTATTGGATTACTTAGGTTCATTGTCTTCTTCGTATTACCTAGGTTTATAATCTTTGCATTTTCCAATGATGAAGATGATGATGTCATCACCACCACTATGATACTTCTATCCATTGAATTTAAAATTCTGTCATAGCATAAATATATATATATATATATATATTAATTATTTTTGTTTAGCTATGTACAGTAATGAACATAGAATTAATTGGAAAGGGCTAGCCTAAAATTCATTGGGAATGGTAAATTCATAGACAAAATAGACTTTTGAAAAATTAAACGTTATATATATATAATAGAAGAGCCCAATATCAGTATTGCTTATATAAATTTATTTTTCTTAAAAAAAGTATTCTTTAGCATTTTGATATTTAATTAGGGAAGTTATAGATAGACCTATGTAAGCATAAAGCATGTGGTACATTATATTATAAAATATCAAATGACATTATAATCAAAGTGAATTAAACTTCTTATGTATAACTAAGATACCGATATGTTACATTATCAATGCATGTACAACAACTAGGATTTCCTATAATCAATTTTTGCATCCAGATCCTTCTCTTCAAAGTCATCTTCTGCGTTTACTAAATTTTTTCTTATTATCTCAACACTTTGTTCTATGTTAGCTAGTTTTTCCTTTGTCTCATTCATCTCTATCTCCAAAACTACCAGGTTTTGCTTTAACCTTTTGATTGTCTCTACCTTCTCAGCATATCCTTTCATATTTAAAGAAGATTTAACAAGAGGCTCCAACCACCTCAAGTCTAATCTACTCATCTCAAGTTCCTCCCATAAATGCTGAAGCTCTTCACAAGCCTTCTCATTCATATCCTTCCACTTCTTATTCTTCAAGAATTGTAGAACACGACCCAATGCAGTAAATGCCCACTCAGTAAACTTAGGACTTCTCTTTTGCTTATAGTCCATCAATGAAGGATGCCATGAACAAGCCTCCTCTAGCAATGGAACCAATGCTTTCTCTATTAGTCCTAAATCCTTGAACTTAACACCATCATTATCCTTTGGGACTAATGCTATCTCTATTTGTCCCACAAATTGAGTGTCTACAGGGCTTACTTTAGAAAATTCAACTTCAATAATACATTTATCATCATTCAAAATATACCCATTAGATGGGTCTTGAAGTTGGGTCAATTCCATAAAAGATCCATAACCCCAATCATCATTATTTGCAAAAAACTCATGTTCTAAACCTGTACCAAAGGAACATCAATGATAGGTTGCAATTATAATTCATCCCATTCCAATTTAAAGTTATAGTTAATAATGAGCCCTATATAGTCTATGAAACCAAAGAAGAATAAACAATGTAAAGTAGCACAAAATAATACCTCTTTTCATAAATCTTTCCTTGTAAACTTGATTGACCACAGTGAAAGTGTAGACTGCATATATACTCCAACCTCGAGGCAAACTTGAAACATAAGCTACTCCCAAAAACATAGCCAAGTACCTCCCATCTTTTCTTCCTCTATATAATATAATTTTCCTACAAAACACACATACATGATGACTGAAATATGATGAAGAAAGAAGTGAGAAATTATATTTATAGAATAAGAGAGAAGAAATTTTGATGGAAGCAGGAGATGAAAAATATGTGTATGATAGATTTTATTCATACCAAGAACAATTGGCGATTGTGAAAACCTCAGAATAGTATCCAGTATTAGTCTTCAATGAACTAAAGTTGCTGATAGTCCATGTTATTTTCTTATTTGTTATATCCTTTAACTCCTGACTCTTCATTAGATCATCAACTTATAATTAATACCTGCATATAATAAAAACCACAAACCCCTCAATTGACTTATAGAATACAAAAAAAAAAGTTTCATACTTAATCATCATAAACCTGGAAATTGATTCACACAAGCTAGAGTGAAAAGGATTTAAACCAACACGTCAAGGCTAGCAGTAAATATGGCAAAAAATGCATTGAAAGTTAGAGCAAGAGGAAATATAAATGGATTAAAACAAAGAAGGAATCATAGCAAGAGAAAAAAAGAAATGGGATGTTCCTTTCTTGTTACATACAAGAAGAGATTCTAAGATGCATATCATTATTCTTAAAACTCAGATATTCCAAAGTAGAGTAGGTTCTAAGTAATTCTTTACCAATGCTAATTTTGTCCATTGACTTGCATAACCCAAGATTCCACACAAGCTTAAGCCATCAAATAAAGGCTACACCAAATTGAATTATTTTCACACACAAAAAGTAATATAGTTTTACAAAAAAAAATTACTGTCTCCCATGTAGTTTGATAGGCAATTTTTGTTTTTAGAAAAATGAATTCAATAACATTCTATTTTTATTTAGGAATTTAATTTAAAGAAATTATAAGGTTTTAATAAAGAATGAATTGTGTTGATGCAAACATTAGTGAGAATCCAATGCCCCAAAAACCTAAGGGTTCTTACATAAGGTTCATGCATAACAGGTGAGTTAGGGCCTAAGATCAGGCCAAAAGGTGCAGTCAATGGACTTGTGTTTTGAGCAATGTTTTAAAAGGTACATCAAACATTGAACTAAAAGAATAAGTGGTTTTTAGTTTTTATAATCTAACCAGTTAGACCAACAGTTGGATCGGTGATGTAGTAATTAAATAAAAATAATATGAAATGTATATATAATAAAATATAAGAATATATATATATAGTATGCTAATAAAATGACATAACATGACAATAAATTAATAATATTATAAAGTATAATTTTATAACTTGTCAAATATAGGTGGATCTTAAATAAAGTAGATGAGAAGACTCAAAAGTCTATACATGAACCTATAATAGTTAACATCTTTAAAAGAAATGGTTGTAAATCATATTTTATACATGTGAATTGTGCAAAAATAAAGTTAATTTTTAGTAGGACCTAATATTTTTAATTTTTTTCTATTTTTTTAAATTTTTAGGCTATTTTTTAATATTGTGTTTAAAATCGTCTAGTTTTTTTTAAAAGTTGCTTTGATTCCTAGTTCAACTTTAACTTCTAGCTTAATAGTAACTCAACTTTAGTCCAATCTAACTCAATCATGAAAACAACTTTTTTGTCCAATCAAGCCATTAACGACTCCAATCAATGGTTTGTCCAGTTCAGCATGGCTTTTAAATCATTTTCTTTAAGGAAAACTGAGCTTAATGAGTTTGGGTCCCATTCTTATGTGGAGAAAGGAACAATACTAAAGCCCATTGTAAGTTTCACTAAATAGACAAGAGATGGTTAGATAAGGTCATGAGAGAAAGATTATATCTAGGATTAAGATACAGCCATTCGAGAGAGAAGTAAATAGAAAACTATTTTTGGATCTATACAAAGCAATCTTGATCAATATTTAGAAATTTGTTCACCCTAGAATTAGGCTTAAATTAGGTCATAAGGTTCACAACATCCAACTCATCCTTTGTAATGGTTGGATCATTAATAAGTTTCCTAATTAAGAAGTTATTAACTTTATCATTCATAAAAATTATTTCTTGCATCTTCACAGAGCGGTCTTGATAAATTGACATTTTTGAATTTGTTCACTATTAGATCAGGTTAAATTTAGTCATCATGTTCAGAACATCCAATTCATCCTTTTCAATGATTGGATCATTGATTGGTTTTCTAATTAGAGAGTTATTAACTCTGTCATTAGAACAACCATTGTCATATTTCATAGAGTAGTCTAGATAAATTTTCATTTATGAATGTATTCACTATTGTTTCTGACATCTAAATTAGTATTTTCAATGATTAGATCTTTGATTTATTTTCTTATGTGAAATTTATTAACTTCATCCTTCATACAAAATTTAACCTAAAACCTTAAATCTAATAAAGAATCCTTACGGTGAAGTAGTATACTATGGAGACCTAGAGTGGGTTTAGCAAGACTCTTAGGGGTTTAATAAATTTAATAAAGTTAATGGAAACTCTAAACTAATTAATAGAATGAGTTTAAAGTGTTACATTAGGTCATAGGTAGTGTTGGGTATATATCTGTGCTCGGTAATGATAAACTCTATCATATTAACTGTAGGCTAATCTTTGGTGGCTGTTGTGCATGATTGGAGACCTTCTAAAAGCATGTTTTAAGTACCTTTTGATTGTCTATTGTAACTGTTTATGAGTAGAATAGCTATTGCATAAAAAGGCTTAAAATTATATATGTCTTGAAAAAATAAATGTTTGTTGCATGTAAATGTTTTCAAAGAAAAGAGTTTGTGGAAATATATGATTACATAAATAAATAAATAAATATATATATATATGAATTGGAATACAAACCACTTGCTTGTATGTGAACATGATCGAGATAGGAGGTAGGAGTTCACCTATAAGGAGAAGTAGTGAAAATTTCATATGGCATCATTCTCCTTAATACCTAATGGGGTGCAGTTGATAAGGAATTATTACTTATCCTGAAAATTAAACTAAAGCTAACCCTAATTCAATATAGGGTTAACTCTAAGTCATCTCCTAAGGAATAGTTTTAAGTCTAATTAAAGTTATCTAGTGGAATAAATCACCTAAAATTGAATATGATTACCTAATTGCTAACCTAATTATCTAGTGAATTAAACTAGCAAACTAAGCCTAATTATAATAAAGTGGCTTCCCTATTCAAGTAGCAACCCTAGGGTGTTGCTAATGGAGGAATCCTAGTTTCTAATCAAACATGGCAGCTCACTCAACTCTCTTCCTTGGCTAAAAAATGTATTTACTTAAGACAATTATCTCAAGCAAACTAGCTTCACTAATTCAATTCCCTAAGTGCTATTACAAGCCCTTTAGACAACTTTACTAGCTCAGCCCAAGAATTAACCAAGTGTTTAGTTAAAAATTCATGCTTAATTGCCATTGCTCAAAGCTGTACCAATGCTCAAAGACTATGAAAATTCAAGAAACTCATCAAGTATTCACCACAAAATTACATGCTAGGCTAATACGAGATATTCACTAATTGAAATCACATGTTACAATGTAAATTCATGAGGTAGATGAAATTCTAGCGGCAACAAGAGCAAGAAATTTAACTCAACAGCCTTGTTTTAACATCAACAATTGCAAACAACCATGAAACTAAAGTTAAATTGAATAACAATAGTCATAGTATTCTAATGGAATTAAAATAAAAAGAAATAGTCGAGCTTAGCTAAGTAAAGACTTCAAAACTCCCCTTCCATCAACTCTTCCCTAGGATTCCATAAAGACTCTAGCTAGCAAACATCAAGAAAATCTTGCTTCCTCCATTAACACAGAGATGCCATGTAGGTTGCTCTATTTATCTTGATGAATTGAGCTCAAATCTTCTTCCAAGTGGTTTGGGTAGGTTTGGCCAGGAAAGAAGAGAATGGCCAAAGTTTTGAGTGGATTTGATGAAGAAATAGTACTGGTTGGTTGCTAGAAATGCAGAGAGAAGATGGAGAAAATGAAGAACACCAAGAACAAGAGAAAGAGAATGTAGGAGATGAAATGAATGGCTTGTGAATCTTAAATGAGGAGTGAATGGACGTGCTCCTTTTGTTTCCCATTAGCTGATCCTAATTAAAATAAAGGAAAAAAAAATAAAAAAGAATTTTGGGGCCTTGTCACACTTGCAAGGTGGCACCATCCTATTGGCTTGTAGATAATTTTAATGTATGTCTAATTTTTCATGTGTCATCCACATTTTTGAAGCTAATTTAATACTATAAATTAACCATAAAAAATGTCCAAACCATCAGCTTTGACCACAAGGAGTGTTGACTTTAATTGCCTAATTGATGCACAAGTCACATGCTACCTATGTCATATAAATTACATAATTTAATTAAATAACATCTGATATAATAAAATCTAATTAAAGTCTTGAATTAAATTCATAATTATAAGGGAGAGTTTATTAAAATAACCAAGTTCTAGGCTATACAATATTATATAAAAATTTTCATGCAAAGATAAATCAAAAAATAGGTTAAACTAGGACACTTAATAAAGTGTTGACATTTTATTTAATTACTTCCAAACCAGAATGAATTTTAAAAATATAATTTAACCACTCATCTTCTAGACATAAAATCATTTGTTTAATTTTTCTTGTAAATTTTCTTAAAATTTTATTTTTTGAACTAAAATACCTCTAGTGCACTGAACCTAGACACTTAGGTAATTTTTCAAATCTAATGCAATGTGTATGTACTTTGGCTAATAAAACCTTAATGAATGGTCCTAATTGACATAGATAAGTATGTAATAAATGTGTTCTATCAATTTTCTCACACTTATCTTTTGCATTCCGGGAAAAATCAAGTGAAAAAGGTCTTAAGAGAAACACTAAGATAAGGAAACAAGACAAAACAATGTTCACAATCCCTAAAATACTAGCTCATGAAGTTCTACAGATTATGAATCAATGTTGCAGCAATTGGGAAAGAATTATGCACATCACAAACAAACTTCTACCAAAAAT